TCCTGTAGTTCTTGACCAGGTTTGCACACACTGCAACACGGATTTTGGCCCACTCCTCCACACAGATCTCCTCTAGATCTGTCAGGTTTCGGGCTGTCGCTGAGCAACACAGAGTTTCAGCTCCCTCCAATGATGTTCTATTGGATTTAGGTCTGGAGACTGGCTAGGCCACTCCAGAACCTTGATATGCTTCTTACGGAGCCACTCCTTGGTTATCCTGGCTGTGTGCTTCGGGTCGTTGTTTTGTTGGGAGACCCAGCCACGACCCATCTTCAATGCTCTGACTGAGGGAAGGAGGTTGTTGCTCAAAATCCCACAATAAATGGCCCCATTCATCTTCTCCTTAATACAGTGCAGTCGTTCTGTCCCCCTCGCAGAAAAGCACCCCCAAAGCATGATGTTACCACCCCCATGCTTCACAGTAGGGATGGTGTTCTTGGGATGCAACTCATCCTTCTTTTTCCTCCAAACACGACGAGTGAAGTTTAGACCAAAAAGTTCTACTTTGGTCTCATCTGACCACATGACTTTCTCCCATGCCTCCTCTGGATCATCCAGATGGTCATTGGCAAACTTCAGATGGGTCTGGACATGTGATGACTTGAGCAGGGGAACCTTCCGTGCAATGCATTATTTGAAACCATGACGGTGTAGTGTTCTACTGACAGTGACCTTTGAAACTGTGGTCCCAGCTCTCTTCATGTCATTGACCAGCTCCTCCCTTGTAGTTCTGGATGATTCCTCACTTTCTTATCAGTGATACCCCACGGGGGTGAGATCTTGCATGGAGCCCCAGTCCGAGGGAGACTGACAGTCGTCTTTAGCCTCTTCCGTTTTCTAAAAATTGTTCCAACAGTTGATCTATTTTCACCAAGCTGCTTGGCAATTGCCCCATAGCCCTTTCCAGCCTTGTGGAGGTCCATAATTTTGTCTCTGGTGTCTTTTGACAGCTCTTTGGTCTTGCCCATGGTAGTAGTTGGTGTCTGACTGACTGTGGGGTGGACAGGTGTCTTTAAAGAGCTCAGACAGGTGCTACTAAGTAAGATTAATGAGTGAGTAGAGGTGGACTTTTTAAAGGCACAGTAACAGGTCTTTGAGAGCCAGAATTCTTGCTGTTTCTTAAGTGTTCAAATACTTATGTTCAGCAGTGCAAGACAAATTCTTTAAAAAATCATACAATGTGATTTCCTGAATTTTTTTTTTAAATTCTGTCTCTGAGTGGGAATGCACCTACAATGTGAATTTCAGACCCCTCCATGATTTCTAATGGGAAAAACTTGCAAAATCGCAGGGTGTTCAAATACTTCTGTTCCTCAATGTACTGTATATAATTTTTGGTAATAAACATGGTATGGTAGGCATGGAGGGGGGAGGCAGTGGGCTGTCATTTACTACTGTGTATACGCCCACATGTGTGACTCTGTATAGCAGGGGTCTCCAAACATTCTAAACAAAGGGCCAGTTTACTGTCCTTCAAACTTTAATGGGGCTGGACTTTGACCAGTGGAAAAAGAAAATGTCCTGGCATTAATGGGAGTAAACAATGTCCCATCATTAGTATTAGGGGAGAAATAGTGCTCCATCTTTGGTATCAGTGGGAGGAATATTGCCCATCCTTGGTGTCAGTGGGAGGAATAGTGCCCCATTATTGGTATTGGGGGAGTAATAGTGTCCCATCATAGGTATCATTGGGAGGAATACTGTCCCATCATTGGTGTCAGTGGGGAGGTATAGTCCCATTTAGTCCCACTTTACTGGTGTCAGTCAGGGGGGAGGTATAGTTCCCTTTTACTGGTGTCGGTGGGGAGGTATAGTTCCCTTTTACTGGTGTCGGTGGGGAGGTATAGTTCCCTTTTACTGGTGTCGGTGGGGAGGTATAGTTCCCTTTTACTGGTGTCGGTGGGGAGGTATAGTTCCCTTTTACTGGTGTCGGTGGGGGAGGTATAGTTCCCTTTTTACTGGTGTCGGTGGGGAGGTATAGTTCCCTTTTTTACTGGTGTCAGTGGGAGCAATAGTGCCCCATCGTTTATATTGAAGGGAGAAATAGTACCAGTTTGAAGACCACTGCTCTATAGTCACATGGGCTGCTCAGATGTAATAGGGAGGAAATGCTCAGCATAGAAACTCACTGAATACTGAGTATGTGCAGTGGCTGCCAACACTGCTTTGCAAAATCTCCAACTGCAATGGGAGCATGAACTGCAGGGGGAGGGGGTGAGAACTGCGGGCTCAACCAGATTTTTGCAGACTACAGAAAACATGATTGTGTATGAACAGCATGTAATACAGCATTTATCGCTTTTTATGATGTGGGTTTAGTGACACTTTAAGGCACGGATGTCAAACTGATGGCCCTCCAGCTGTTGCCAAACTACAAGTCCCATGAGGCATTGCAAGACTGACGAGCATGACTCCCAGGGGCAGAAGCATGTTGGGACTTGTAGTTTTGCAACAGCTGGAGGGCTGCCAGTTTGACACCCCTGCTTTAAGATATTTCTAGATAGGCTGTATGTGTCTCCTAGAAACGGTTGCAAGGACAGCCTCTGCTACCCCCATCTACTCAGCTGCAAAGTATAGCTCCTTTGTTGTCATTGCACTACTAAACTAATAAATCCTTCCAATAATAGTCTTGCATATTCTCCCTAATCACATTATGGTTTTAGAGCAGCCAGACTCGCACACTTGAGCACATGTTCACATGAATTCTCCCATGGCTGTGTATAAATATCCTCTATTCACAGACAGAAGAAGCCATGATCACTAATTTCTCTGCTGCTTTGTATTACTGCATCTAATTTGACCTCTTGTTCATTTGTCTTCAGTGATGGTTGGATTAACAAAATAGGAATATTTGTGATCAGATGAAGTATACATTGGTTTTGGTTTAATGGTCATCACTAGCAGTTCTGCTTACTGATGACATATACCTCTTTGTTTTTCTTACATATTGCTACATCATTGTGGTCTGAGACATGCTTAATTTACAGGAAAGTACACATTCCTGGAAGGATTGGTTTCCAGTAGAATTCTATCAGAGAATATTTTCCATAATGAGCAAATACTTTGCTATTTGCAGCCTTGGCTGTGATGGATTGCAAGCCAAACTTGTGTTTTTGATGGTCACTCTAGGCCACTCCAGCTGTCGTGGAAGTAGACGTTCCATTTGTTATTGCAAGACTTAGGTAGCCACAGTAATGACTGCAAGTGGCAGGGGCATGATGGTATATGTAGTTTCACTGCAACTGCAGTGATGAGGTTTTTTTTTAGACTCAGATAATCTCCTCCTTTAAAGCCTCCGAATTTTTACCCAAAAAAGAAAAACTGTCTAGAAGTGGTGTTGAACCTTAATTGCATTGTGAGCTTGTGAGCCACATCAGATGGTTGCCCTCAAAGGGCCATTGTATCTGTAAGAGATGTCCAGAGCCCCCCCCCCCTTTTACATCAGATGTCAAGATCCCCCCCACCATCCTCTTATATCACAGTGCACCCCCTTTTACCTTGTGCTGCTGCCAGTAGGAAGCTGATGGCTGATCTGGGAAGTAGAAAATGCAGGGTCTGGAGGAGGGCTTGAGTCTGCTGAATGCTGAGACCAGGAGAAGTGGAGACATGGGAGGTGCTGTAGCTGCACAGAGTGGTGCAGGATCTGTAGGAGGAGTTCTGTCCTCCTCTCTGCTTCAACAAGGATGGGGACCTCTTCAGGCTTCATGGAGAGGCACAGGATCTGGCGTAGAAATTCTGTCGTCCTCTCTACTACTGCCGACTGCTGAGACAAGGTGGGGGCGGAGATGGGGGGGCTACTCCTCTATCCCTCATGCCAATATACTTTTACCCAGACATAATCCCCTCACTTCCCGGGGACAGATATCAGAAGTTATAAAACTGCTTTTCTTCCAGTTCTTCTTTTTAAGATCAGGCAATTCCTACAGTGCAATCCACATATATAGAAAATATTTAAAAGCAAAGACAGTGCAGAAGATTCACAAACCAGCGCTTTAATTATATTTATAGTCTGACGGCACTCTCTGGCACGTTTCATCATGTGTAAACAAAAAAAAACCCTTTCTGTTATTCTGATTTACGTGTTGACATTTAGAACATGCTTTGGGTTTGATATTTCTTCTTTTGATATAGACACTATTGCTGGTACTAGAGTAAGATAACCAGATTTTCTAAATGAAATTCAGGGACATCATACTGACAACATCCAGAAAAAAATGACTGCTGTGTTGTAGCCATACCCATAAAATCTTACACCCAATTTGAACATGCCCACAAACTGGTCACAGACTTTTGGAACAAGAGATTTCAAATACAAGTTGCCAAGATATGCATGCTTAGTTGGGAGTGACACCTTGAAGGTATGAAGAGGAAAAATGCTGGAAGTGTGGCCAATAAAGGGGTTTTCAGTGTATGACGTATTGCTTGTAGTGAGTAGGAAAAGGATTGGTGCAATTGACAGTAATGACCTATTTTGACAGGTTTCCAGTCAGCAGAGATTCAGTTGTAACAACAGTGACTTGCCAGTGCAAAACAGGCACAGCAGTGATCGAAGCCTCCGGAGCGCCTGGGGTGCCATGCCTGGCTCAGTTCCCAGTCCACCAGCTTCTTGCCTTAACTTGTCTCCGGTGTTCCATCTTTGAGGTTTGCAGGAAAATTCTCCTAATCTCTCCTAGGGGACAGCCACAGAAAAGTGAAAACAAAGGTTGTGGATGGTCCACAGGATACAGAAGCTAGGACCATATTTCAACTGTTGGGCAGAATTGCAGTGTGCCATGCTGGAACATTTCTGGCTTACTTCAGTACTGGATCCTGGAAGAGAGAAAGCGTGTTCCAGCATGGCACAGTGCTGCCACTCTGTATGTCACTGCTGATAGGGAGACACTGTTAAGGACTTTGCTTCTTGAGGACAGACTCTTTAGAATAGGGACTGTCCCCAGAATGAATGGCAACCATTTGCTATATTTAACTATATAACCTTTTTTTTTTTTTTTTTTTTTTTTTTTTTCCAACTTTTTTTCCTGGCCATTTTTTTTCTACAAATCCTTTTGTTTCACTGTTTTCTTTATCCCAATGATAGGTACTCATCTGATAACAGTGAAAGCAGCTGGCTTCGCTCGCTGTTTGTGCGGAAAGTGGATCCTCGCAAAGATGCGCATTCAACTTTGCTTTCTAAGAAGGAGACCAGTGGACTGTACAAAATGCAGTGTAAGTAAGCTATTTTCTAAAGTTATATGGTTTTGCTGCATTTTTTCGGAAAAAAACAAGATAGAAGACTACAGTAAATATTAAAATATTTGATGGTTATCAACAGGGATTAGCCAGTTTCAAGATGGACAGGCAGGCAGATTATTTCATGATCTCCACCTCAGTGAGAGCAAGGTTTCTCCTAAATGGCGGAGAAGCACTCGGCACAACCCTTTTAATTCTGCTGAAGATGGAGCACAGCACCTCTTACTTTTTATAGCAGCCCAAATATGCAGCATAGTTAAGATTGCCAGTGCTTGGAAAACTCAAGCACACATGGTCATGTCGCATTAGCAGCAGTGGAGAATTGCTTCTGCGCTGGGCAAAACACTACAGAATCTCATTCGCCAACAAGGGAGTAGCAATGGAGCAACACCTCGCTGCTTCAGCATGGGAGGAAGTGATGCTGTAGGAACAACTGTTTCCCAAGTTATCTTCCAGGATGGCATACATGAAAGAATGACAGAAAACAGAGCCCCTAAACACTAAAAAGGAGCCCTCCTCAATGCTACTCCAGTCTTGTGTTTCCTGCGCATTATCAGGCAATTCCAATTGTTATTTTTCTTTTGGGTCAGTAGCCATTGAGTGAAAACCCTCCTTCCGTGCTGATGGATATGTTGGAACTAGGGGAGCTTTGAAAACCTGAGGCTGGTGGAACAGGAGAAATTTTCTTGCTAAATCTCTCCATTATCTAAAAACCTGGAACTTGCCCCCAGATATTTTGGGGGTAATACCTGACAGTTTCCACACTTGGGTCTTGGCATCTGCATTCTCCACACACTTGTAATACTTGCCAGGAGTAGGACTGTTGTCATTTCAGACACCACCAGTAATGTAATCCAGCAGTGCTGGCCTTAAGGAAGCTTCAAACCTCATGGCTACACTATGCTGGAAGTTGGCATGACCTAGAGGAGTTTATCTTGTAGTGCTTAGCTGTGTCTTGAACAGCCTTCAGGGCCACCTTCTGTATATCTCTCACCATCGAGCCTGTGCTGAGGCTATGATGCCCAAGGAAATTGATTAACCCTCCTCTCTGAGCCTATCTGCATACCTGTGTAGACACTGTCAGAAGACAGCAGTGGCCATGGGCAACCCCCCTGTGATATGGAGGCCAAGTTGATGGCTGCTTTTGCATTGGATTCAACATGGAAACTGTTAGAAGATCCTCACGTCTCCTTTGTGATGGTAAAACACGGAATAAACTATCTGTATTCCTATTATCTTATATTAAAGTGTTACTAAACCCACAACAGTAAAATCAGTCTGTATATGCAGTAAAGCATGCTTGTTATACTCACTGTGGAACTTAAGGGGTTAATCATCTACATTGTGTAAAAAGGCTATTTGATCCTTTCTTCTCTGCCCCTCCTCTTGTTGAAATGACCACCTGATACAGACTGAATCCGTAGTCACATGCACATGCTCAGTTTGGTGTGTATTGTTTTTTTTTTTTTTTTCTTGGGAGATTGCATGTGATCAGCACAGGGCCAATCAGCACTGTCCTGACAAAGGGTCAGGACTTTTATATCCTCCTAGAGCAGAAAGAAAACTCCTCCTACAAGCTTTAACCAGTGCTCTGCTGAAGTCACAAAACTGCTTTGAATGTTGATGAGAAAAGGTATTTAGCAGTTTATATTTACTAAAATAATTGCATTTCCATGTCCTGTGTACTGTAGGAGATCAGATATAGTGAATGCAGGATCCTGGGTTTAGTAACGCTTTAATGTTTTTTTTAGGTATGCTGGTTTTTAGAGGTGCTTGTTTTTATCAACCAATTCTGCTTTCAGACAGAGATAGGTTGCACTAAATATCAGTTTGATTTGGATATCTCTTCTGTTAATAGTTTTTGTTATCAATTAACAAAATTTAAATGAACACTTCTGTTTCTGAAATATGTACTGTGTGGTATATGTATATATATTTGCTAGTATTTCAAGGAAATATTGAGATTGCCACCATAAGTGAGTATCAAAATGCTATAATCCTTTTTTGTGTGTATATGTATGTATGTATTGTAACAGCGCAGGGCCCGGTCACAAGATAAAAGCAGGTAGAAGTGCTCTGGTAATGGACACAGGGTCTGCACATGTGCGAAGTACAGAACTGCGGAGTGTAGATTTTGAGTAGAGAAAACTGTTGTTGCAGGTTTCTCCAGATTTTTATATTTCTGGATGGGGCTCCGTAGTTTGGAGATTTCAGAGTGCCTTGGGAGGGAAGAAATCTCCAATCCAGTGTCCAGAGTTTGAAGTCAACCAGCAGGGTGTGGGCCCAGGTGCTCACAGCACATATAATGATGGTTTGCTGAGAGTTGCAAGGGGAAGTGCAGTGGCTGACATTGAGGGGTTTTATTTACTAAAGCTGGAGAGTCCAAAATCAGATTCCCTTCTGCATAGAAACCAATCACCTTCCAGGTTTCATTGCCAAAGCTTCATTGAACAAGCTGAGGTTAGAAGCTGATTGGTTTCTATGCAGAAGGGAGTCTGATTTTGGACTCTCCAGCTTTAGTAAATAAACCCCTGATTGTCCATGTGTGAGACAGAAGCCGTGCGCGTTGAAGGGCTCGAAGCCGTGCGCGTTGAAGGGCTCGAAGCCGTGCGCGTTGAAGGGCTCGAAGCCGTGCGCGTTGAAGGGCTCGAAGCTGTGTGCATCAAAAGAGCTCAATGCTGAGTGTTGGGACTAGCCAGGGGTCTGGAAGACCCATACCAGCAGAGGTACTGCTGACCAGCAGGGCTAATGAGGAGTAGCCAGGAGGCTTGGTAGTTTTTTCATTTCTATTTACAACTGGAGAAGAACCCCTGTGTGGGAAAGCTAATTTTGGACTTTTGTGTTTTTTGTTTTGTGCCTTTTAATAAAAGTGGGCTACCCAGCCCTTAAAAAGCATTTCTGACTAGAGTGGACACACTTGGAAAGCATCTACCACTAGAGCTATGACAAAACCTGCAAGCTGATTGGTTTCTATGCAGAGACGCACCAGATTTTGCGCACTCTGATTTTGATAGGTAGATTACTCCCACTGTGCCAATACTGCCCCTTTTTTTTTTTTTAATAGAAATGCCTTTGTGTTGAGTTTTATCATTTTTATAAACACAACACATAGGGGTTTATTTACTAAAGCTGGAGAGTCCAAAATCAGACTCACTTCTGCATAGAAACCAATCAGCTTCCAGGTTTCATTGCCAAAGCTTCATTGAACAAGCTGAGGTTAGAAGCTGATTGGTTTCTATGCAGAAGGGAGTCTGATTTTGGACTCTCCAGCTTTAGTAAATAAACCCCTCACAGTCTGTGATTATATACGTGACCATTACGTGACCTTACCTTTACATAGGGAATGAAGACCACTTCAAAAATAGTGGTAAAATCAATTCTAAAGAGAGGATAAAAAAAGCTCTACACACCATATCAAAGCATTCACTTGCTTATACATGTATACAAAAACATTAATGCAATAGTCAGTACATGAAAGATTTGAAGTAAAGGTCAAGGGGTATTATAACCAAAACACAAACTACAACCTAAATTGAACATTGTTCACTAGCACAGAGCATGTACATATATCATCAGCAGGTAGACAGCAGAGCATTCAACATGCACCACTCAAAACTGAAACTCAACTTTTTACTGTCTTCTAAAAGTAAAGACCCATGGAAATTTTAATAAATTTTGAATAATTAGAGAAAAAGGAGTCCGCCTAGGGATGGACAACCATGGGTCCCAAAGTTTGTTAAATTTTACTTGGAACTCCCCATGTTGGTAAATCAAACATTCTCTAGGAAGATTAGTATTCATCGGGGTTTGCCACTCCTCGAAGGAGCATAAATAAATAGTAGTATTTACATGTGGTAAGCCTAGTCATGATACTTGTTTTCTCTGTAAATCATGTAACTTGCTTTTGTATATTTTAGTTTGCTTATTGTGTGCATTCTGTACACTTTCTTGGTTTTGCAGTAAACTGATTTTTAAAAAACCATTGTATTGTGCTGATAACTTAGAAAGCAAATACAATATGATTTAACAGTTAATTAAGTAATGGTATGAACTTCCTCTTTTAAAATTTTCACATCCTTATTTTGTTTTAGTTCATAATGTAAAGCCAGAATGCTTGGATGCCTATAACCAGCTGACGTAAGCATTTTTCATTTCCTTTGCAGTTCTGTGACTTTTCTGTGTGTGAATTGGGTACCTTGACTGTGTTTGATTTCTTACCTTGTGAAAGTCTTTTGTTCTCAACTTTCAAACACCATGAACAGTAGCATTATCTGTGCCTATTTTATAATTCCAAAAAATTGATAAGATGTGTCGCCAGCCCACCAACGAGCTTGTTTTAAGGTACAAAGCTTTTTATTGTATGATCACATAGAGAAACAATGTTTCGGGGCTGTACAGGGACCCTTCGTCCTGCTTGACTTTTGAAAGAAGCTTGTTGGTCTTCTGGTGACATACTGTATCTTATCAATGTTATGCACTGTGTCCAGTTGGAAGTCATTGCTGCACCCTTGTAACCGAATGGTCAATTTCAATATAGTGTATAAAAGGAAAATATTCATTGAATTAGAATATCAACAGTAAAATCCCCGGCTTATCAAACCGAAACAGCTGATCCAGTTATTTGAAATTTTTTAAATTTAAAAAATTGGTCAATATCCACTTGCTGACTAGTCACGTACCTGGTATGTCATCAGTCTTCAAATGTTTGTACCGGGGTGGTGTCTTCAGTACAGTTTTTTAGAGCCTGCAGTCAGCTCTCTTGTAATAGCAATCGAAACGGCTAACTAGCCGCTCAATTGCTTTTACAAGCAGTGGGAGGGGACCCAAGATTTCCCCCATAAAGAGTTCCTGTAGCATTCCTATTGCTGTCACAAGGATGTTTATCCATTTAATCAGCATAACTTCTTCTTTTATATTTTACAAAAAAACTGGGTGATGTAATATGGGTTTTTTTGCATTAAACATTAAAAAAAATAAAATAAAAGCATTTGAAAAACCACTGCGCAAATACCACGTGACATAACAAATTGCACAAAAACATAAATGTTTTCTCTAGGGCCTCTGCTTTAAAAAATATATAATGTTTTGCCGTTCTAAGTAATTTTCTAGCAAAAAAAAAAAAAATGATTGTTACATGTGCACAAAATTTACCAGAAAAAGCCTGATCCTCAAGTGGATATACTATTCCCTTTAAAGCAGAACTTCAATTCCAGAACTCCAAAGAAAAAACATTTTAAGTGAATTTCCACCCATCTCAAGTCATTGTACACCAGATAGTAACTTGAATATACTCATGAAAATTACCACTTTGATTGTCTTTACTATTTTTTTCCTTGTATATGGGCAGGGGGCAGCCATAATCATTGTGGTACACATCCATACAGGGAATACAATTCTTAGAACACCTGATGAGAGCCATGTCTGCATGCTTATTAACCACTTGCCCGCCACCCTATAGTATAACTACTGCTACAGGGCAGCAGGGCTGCGCAAAATAACGTGTATATATACGTGATTCGCATTTACGGGTAGGGAGCGTGTGCGCCGCCCCTCCTGGGCTGCCATTGGCAGCTACGGATATCAATCACCGGGTCCAGGCCAGAGATTCCCCGCCAGCGATTGCCGAGTAAAACTGACAGGGAGAGATCTGTGTGTAAACACAGGTATCTCTCCTGCCAGCAAGGACATGCTGCTTTGTCTTTCTCTGCACAGCAGAGAAATGCAAAGCAGCATGTCTCCATTGTAAAACAGCACACATAGTAAAACACACAGTTTATCCTTTGATCACCCAAAAATTAGCCTTTTCCTGCCCAGTGTCATTAGTACAGTCAGTGGTTTTTATTAGCACTGATCACTATATTAGTGTCACTGGGGATGTAAGTGGCAGTTCCCACTAAGTGTCAGAATGCCCACCGCAGTCCCGCTATAAGTCGCTGATAGCCACCATTACTAGTATATAAAAAAAAAAATTCCAGTATATATACCGGCATTTGTAGGCAAAATAACTTTCACATAAACCAATTAATGTACATGTATTGGGATGTTTTTGTTTTTTTTTTAGCAAAGACATGTAGCAGAATAGATTTTGGCCTAAATTTATGACGAAATTTGATTGATTTTTTTTTTTATTGGATATGTTTTATAGCAAAAAGTAAAAATTTTTTTTTTTTTTTGTTTTCCAAAATGGTTGGTCTTTTTATGTTTATAGCACAGAAAATAAAAAACGCACAGGTGATAAAAGGCTCTATTTGTGGGGGGGGGGGGGGAGGACATAAATTTCATTCATGTACAACGTCGCATGACCGTGCAGTTGTCATTTGAAGAAACGCAGCGCCGTAATGGGAAAAAATGGCCTGGTCAGGAAGGGGGGTAAAATCTCTGGAGGGCAAGTGGGTAGATAGGCTTGTCAGTATTTAGTGGACTTTACTGGGCAGACATCTTGAAACATAAGTTTTCCACTAGTAATGCCCACTAACAGAATCAGAATTGTTGTTACTTCACCCCTGAGAGAAAACAATCTCCTGCACTCGAGAGGTGTTCTGGCAATGGCTGGTCACAGATCTTCAATTACTCAAACCTTGGCAAAACTTTGCAGCCCTGAAAGGGCTTGGGAAGCCCAGAAAACACTCTACAAAACAAGAACAGAGGGCACACCAGCCTTTGCACAGAAATGGCTGATGCGTTTAGAGGGGAGATTGGCTCATGTGGTCTCCTCCACCAGTTCCCTGTTCATACCAAGGCACAAGCTTTCAGTTGGAGAACTGGAGGAAGTGTTAGTGGGCTATGAGTATGGTGATCACCACGTGGCAGATGGGATTTGTAGTTCATTCATTCACAGATCTTGGATGGAGCCCCGCACAACCAGATTAATTTAAAAACTATGCTACTTTGGGGGAGGGGCTGGGACACGCTTGCTTTGTGATATGTTATAGCTTCCATAAAGATGTAACAGTGCAAAAGATGGAGTTAGCCTTTAAGACTTGTTGCATGCATGAATGTGGCTTGTAGTTTTCTGAAATGTAAAATAAAAGGTTGTTAAAATATGGGTTTTTTTTTTTTTTTTAAAAAGCGAGGTGTGGGATATGGAAAAAAATTAACATACATAATCACCTAGGTAGATGCTGCATCAATCTGATGCTACAGCTGTCCCCCGCCATCGCTATATCAAGAACTTAGCAATCAAATACTGACTGCTCAGTTCTCGGTCTTCAGTTAGCAGAGAGCCTGTGGTCTGCCCCTCCAGTGCTCATTGGAGCATCGGGCTGTAGATGGGATGGGAGCTGCTGGATCAGGCTCTCATTCACACTCTGAGAAGCTGAGACATCTGCTGGTCAGGCATATGGGTGAATCCCAACATTAAAGTCTGGACCAGATGATTGATGTCAGCTGACAGCGGGCCCCATCAGCTGTCTCTTGAACATTAACACAGTTCCACAGAAACAATTCAAATCCTCCCTTACAGAGCAACTACTCACTGCAGCCAGAGTTTGTGTTCCAGCCCTATGGAAATCAATGCCCCCCTCCAACAATGCAGATGTGGTTGACCAGAGTCAATGAAATACATACTATGGAGGAACTGACAGCCACTCTCTATAATTGTGAGGAAAAATTCCATAACACCTGGTCCCCTTGGACTGCCTTTACCAGCTCCCCCTCATGCCAAGCTCTGTCATTGACAGACACTCAGACTCTTCCAATTCAAATGATGGACATGCCCTGTATGCCTTTAAAGAAAGAATTACAAAAAAGACAGCTACTGCTAGATTAGCTTTCAAGTTTACCAACATTTTAAGATATCTGTCTAGATGGTACATTGAATTTTCACTTTACAGAAACAAAGGTACACAAGTTAATTATTTTCCTTAGTTTTTAGATTTAACAGAATAAAGGAGTTGGGATTTAAACTCTTATTTTGCTTTTATGATTGTGTAAAATTTGTTTCTTGTTTCCCCGTGCAGAGAAGAGGTCCTACCCAAGTTGCACCAGGATCCAGATTACCCATGTGATCTGGTGGGTAATTGGAACACGTGGTATGGAGACCAAGACCAAGCAGGTGAGTTTAGATATTTTGAGTGGACATTGGCATTTTTGCTGGTTAAATGCTGATTTCCCTTTCAGTTCATCTATGGCGATTCTCTGGGGGATATCCTGCTCTCATGGACTGTATGAATAAATTGCGAAATAACAAGGTAATGGACACCTGACAGACCCTCAAAACTCATGTATGAATTTGGTAGAAACACATCTCCTTTGTATCTTAATCATCACGGTGCCTTTTCTTCTTTTTCTATTAGACTGTCATTCCTCATTCTGATCTAGGATTTTTTTTTTTTCCTGGTTAGTTGACATTATCCTGAAAATATACACTATATTGCCAAAAGTATTGGGACACTCCTCCAAATCATTGGAACACATGAATCCAATCACCTCCATGGCCACAGGTGTATAAAATCAAGCACCTAGGCATGCAGACTGCTTCTACAAATATTTGTGAAAGAATGGGTCGCTCTCAGGAGCTCAGTAAATTCAAGCTTACCGTGATAAGTTGCTACCTGTACAATAAGTCCATCCGTGAAATTTCCTTACTACTAAATATTTCACTGTCATCTGTTAGTGGTATTATACCAAAGTGGAAGCAACTGGGAACAACAGCAAATCAGCCACAAAGTGGTAGGCCACGTAAAAATGAAAGAGCAGGGTCCACTCATGCTGAAGAGCACAGTGTGCAGAAGTCGCCAACTGTCTGCAGAATCAATAGCTAAAGACCTACAAGCTTCGTGTGGCTTTCAGATTAGCACAAACAAGTAAATCACTAACATCAGTCTATCAGTTGTTGCCAGTATCCCAAATAAACGAGAGAAGCAGAGAACCCCCAAAAACAAAATAATGCAGAACTTTAACGACAACTACAAAGGATACTGAGGTAAAATACACACAACTTTTTTATTAACATGAACGAATAAAAAATTATATGGTTTGACCCATAAATAAAATGTGTAACTGGATATGTTTCAACAAAGGCAAGGACATTAACTTGTATATGTAAGACATCCTTGTTTGTTCTACCAATGCTTCATATTTGAAACATCCGACGCGTTTCAGAATATTTTCTTTCATCGTGGTGAACAGTGGGAGAGGATGATGTAGATGAATTCTATAATATATTAGGTCACATTAAGAACTTTACATAATAGCATAATTTTGAATTTATTACACATATATGGTAACAATAAAAACATACCCTCCTATATAGATACATTGAGATTACATATAATAAAAAAAAACAGCCAATATCTGCCAGCACCCACACATATGACCGAATGTGGGAACCCCACTGGTCCAGATGATCCCAACACTGAGGTTGCTGTATAACATCCCCAGCCAAGCTAAAAAACTATAAAAGATAAAATGAAAAAAGGTATGGAGCTTAAATATTAAACCTATGTGAACAGCTCAGTGGGAAAAAAAAAAAAAGAAAAAACTGGAGATAGGATACAAATATTTGCATAAAGTATCAAAAAAGCAGTTTAGGAGGGGCTTGTAGCCAGTGGATCCGTCCTATAGAATAGAAAGGGGATGGTATAAATATATTAATAGTTACATTGGAGAGGCGCATAGTCCTCAGAAAACATGGTTACCAGAATCTATCCATGGTTACTTATTAGACCCATGAGATCTATTACAAAGAAGAGCAGGGAAATGGGACTATAAACAGTTTTATAAATGAACAAATAAAGTGGGGGGTACATAGCTGAAATTTTGGATAGAAAAGAGGGAGGTCACATGGTGCACAGAACATAGCACAGACCACAATCCCAATCCCTTAAATATCTATTATAACCATCCCCCAAAGCAAAAAATAACTTTGTGTTCTAAAAAGGAATAGGTCCAAATAATCTCACTTGAGTAATTAAATCAGCGCAAGCAAAAAGTAATAGTGTTTAGGGTCCCACCAGGGTGTACAAGCATACTGTGTACTCCACTGCCCAATACCTTGCTCCTTATATAGTGTGGTTCCGGACGCCCCCGCATGCACACTGGACACCGGATACTGCGCATGCTCTGCTAGAATGTCCATGGCAACACCCCGAGCCAGAAGCACATGGTGCTACCCCCGAACAAAGCCAGAATGATGTCACGCACCACCGGCTCGCCAGATGGAGACCCAGAAATACAGGTACAGAAGCCGGAAACACCCGAATAAGCAGGAGAGAGGACCAACCTGCTAGTTCCATCACAAAAGAAGCTCCCCCCCCCCCCCCCCCACTAAACTCTGCGTAGGCTTGGGTGTGCAAGGTGGGGATCATCCAGAACAGCAAGGGCATGGGGAAAAAGCAGAAGGCAGACCAGCAACCTCCAGCACAGATTATAGTCATTTCAAAACATCACACGTTTAATCAAAAAATATTAATACATATACATGTTATGTTGCCTGCAGAAAACATACAAATTGCCAATATAAAGAATAGAAATCAATTTAATTACAACAGCAAAATTACCCAAATTATAATACACCAATGTATACAAAATACCCATATTTTGGAATATATTTCAGATAGACTAAGCTGCACCCAAAAACGTTTTTGTAGAAACAAATGTTTGAAGAATATGTATATAAGGAAAAAAGAGGGGCTATCTGAGCAAAGTTGACCAATATACATAACGGAAGTAAGAATGATATACCAAGCTTACAAGATCAAATTGATTGTTCCAATACTTATTGATTACTTAGAAGTGGACCTCGCTTAGTAAATGGTCTATATAGCACCAAAAAGAATGTAGGTAAGACGATTCCCCTCTAATTGTGTTCTAGGAAGACATATTGTGTTTATTTCTCACATCCCCCTGAAGCGAACCCTTGTAAAAATGGTTTAAAACTCAACGTTACATTAAAACCAAGGAGGGTTGTAGCTTTTAATGAGGCAACCCACCAAGTCTCATGTTAAAGTAGGATTTTATTCCAATCTCCTCTCCTGCTGGGATGGACCCGACCTAAGATCAAAAAAGAAATCTTGGGAAATTTCCTGCCATTTATATCTTACATGGTGGCCAAGAGGTAGATAGCAATTCGAGGATTTCATACTGGCATTGTGTCGATATGCTCGCCTCCAGAATTCCAATTTGGTTTTCCCCACATAGAATTCCCCACATTCACAGCTCAATAACATAAACAACTCCTTCTGTTCTACAATTAGCAAAATGCTTGGGCCTATAGGGGTCTCCATTTGGTAATATAGTTCCTGTATTGATGTTCATATATTGACAATAAGGACACCTCCCACATTTAAAAGTGCCCATTTTTTACAAGGGTCTGATCTGGATTTTCCTACAAATTCACACTGTACTAAATTATCTTTAATAGATATAGCTCTATGATAAGTTATTGCTGGAGTTTATGGGATGTGGAGAATAAGAGTGGGGTCAACTTGAAGGAGATGCCAGTATTTTTAAATTTTTCTAACCGGCTTATGTTTTCTAGTATAGCGGGTAATAATCACAAACCTTTTGATTCTTTTGGCGTTTTTTTTGAAGAAGAGAAAATCATGTCTCGATTTGTTTTATGACACGTTTGAAAGCTTTTTTCAAACATGTGGGTGTGTAGCCCCTTTCTAATAATCTCTTTTTTAACTCGGCTGCTTCTTTGTGAAAAGTATCTTCATCAGAGTAGTTACGCCCCTAATATGAAGATACCAACTGTTGGGAATGGAGTTAACCAAAGGACGGGGGATGCAAGCTATGGGCATGCAGAATATTTCCTGCCGTAGGTTTTCTATAGAGTCCACTGGATAGACCCCCCTCTGGCTCTTTCTTAATGGTTATATCAAAGAAGGTAATCATGGTAGAGCTATGGGACATAGTAAACCGCAGATTACAATCATTTTTGCTCATGGGCTCAACACATTGGAGTAACATGTCACCTGGACCCTCCCAGACAAGGAATATGTAATCTATATAACGATACCACATCAGGATGTGGCTTGTCTACGGCGACACCACTTCATCTGAAGGGTACAGATTGGCGTAAGATGGGGCATAACAGATCCCCATCACCACTCCTTGCACCTGGAGGAAGTGGGAGCCCTCAAACATGAAAACATTTGTGGATGAGAATATGTTCAAGTCTTTAAATAATATACCCCTTGAGTTTCCATTTATATCTGTCTGAGACAGGATATGCCTAATGGGTCCCAATTTCTTTTTGATGGGGGATGGAGCTATAGAGAGCTTCCACATCTATAGCTATTAAGATGGCTTCTGCAGATAGCTGCACCCCTTCTAAATTTTTTTTAAAAGGTGAATCCTGTCACATATGATCTCCAGATGTTCATCAATGAAACGACTAAGATTTTCCATAAGAGCCAACACCAGAAATTATAGGTCTGCTTGGGGGATTATTGAAATCTTTGTGGACCTTAGGGAGAGTATAAAAAGTAGGAATTTTTGGATGACTTATACGTATGAACTCCCACACTGATATTTGTAACGATTCCCTCTAAATAGGCATTATCCACCATGAGAGAGAATTCACGGTTAAATTTATCAATTTTAGATTGTGGTATGGGATGATACCATGAATGATTCTGTAGCATCCTTAGGCACTTTTTTCTGTGTTGGTCATAATCACTACGTTGCCACCTTTTTGTCTGAAGGCTTTATTGTAAGATGGTGGCAATTAGAGAAATACTTAGGAGCCTGTCTTTCTGAATTGGTGAGATTATTGGGTGAATTTATAATCTTCAATTCATTTATCTCTTTCATGGTGAGGGTTATAAATGCTGCTATATCAAGGTTTGTATTTATTGAAGGAAACATCAGATTTTTCCTTTTTTAAAGTTGAAGGAGAGGGAGTCCCTTGATCGCTTGTTCTTCTAAGAGGGATTCAATGTGCAGCCGGTTGATTAAATCCACTGGTTGTTTTTCATTCAGTAAGGCCACTAAATCCTCAAGAGCCCTATCCTCCAGACTATCCTTGAAAGATTGTCTAGTTTGGCCTTTAGAATATGCACTCTTGAGTATTAGTTTACAAGCAAACAGTTGCAGCTCTTTAAAGATCTCACATTTTTTTTTAGATTTTGATCTGGACAGACACTTAGTCCTTTCAACAATATTTGAGTTTCTTCGGGAGAAAGCACAACAACAGTGCGTAGAGAGCTTCATGGAATGGGTTTCCATGGCTAAGCAGCTGCATCCAAGCTTTACATTGTCTTTGAAGCATGTCACCACTGGACTCTAGAGCAGTGGAGACATGTTCTCTGGAGTAACAAGTCACGCTTTTCTGTCTGGCAATTCAATGTCTGGGTTTGGCGGTTGCCAGGAGAATAGTACTTGCCTGCCTACATTGTTCCAAGTGTAATGTTTGGTGGCGGTGGATTATGGTGTGGGGTTGATTTTTAGGGGTTGGGCTTGGCCCCTTTGTTCCAGTGAAGGGAACTCTTAAGGCATCAGCATACCAAGACATTTTGGACAATTTCATGCTCCCAACTTTGTGGGAACAGTTTGAGGATGGCCCCTTCCTGTTCCAACATGACAGTGCCTGACCTCTCAAATGCGTTTCTGGAAGAATGGTCATTCATTTCCACTTCTAAACCTTGTGGTTGGACAGCCTTCCCAGAAGAGCTGAAGTTGTTATAGCTGCAAAGGGTGAGCCAACTCAATATTGAACCCTACGGACTAAAACTGGGAGGCCATTAAAGTTCATGTGTGTGTAAAGGCAGGTGTCCCAATACTTTTGGCAATATAGTATATGTCTAATACTGGGCCATTCTTACTAATGCAACACCATCTCTTTTCTACTGCAGGAATACTTAGCTTTCCGTGAGGAGCGCAGCCGCATGCTTCTCTCACGCAGAAACCAGCTTCTTCTCGAGTTCAGTTTCTGGAATGAACCAGTACCTCGTAAAGGACCCAACATCTATGAATTGCGCACATACAGGCTAAAGGTAACTTTTCTTTTATTCATATACATAGAAAGCAAAGCTTGTTAAGGCTTATAATCTGCACTTGACAACTGGTGTGAGGCCTAAACATTTGGATTAAATTGTAATGAAAATATTTAAAAAACCCACCTAATTTTATTGCATAAGTAAAACTGGGCATGCATCAGAAATGCTTTTTAGATATGAAGCAAATTCCTGCATCTAGGGCAGAAAGGTAAACTCCTGCTCAGACCAGTTTTATCCTAGAATTGTGTTTTTGGGGTTTTTTTTTTTTTCTTCCTCTAAACTGATTATAATGAAATGTTCACATTTAAAGTATATCTAGACTTTTTTTTATATTAAATAGAATAGAGAATGATTAAATCTCCTTTTTTTTTTTTTTTCCTGTTTGTGTCATGCTGGTGAGATTTCCTTTCACTTCCTGTTCTGGAGTCACAACAGTAAATAAAATAATTTCCACTGAAGTTAAGGAATACTTGTAACCATAGTAGTTGTGCCCGTATAAATATTTTTTTTTTCCTTACCTCTTCCTGGTGGCAACTGTAACATATTAGAATTTTTCATCATTTTTCTTTCTCAGTAACTATGATTACCAGAGCAAATAAAAAGGGGTGAAGTTTCCCAACAGGGATACAGACTGCAATAAAAGCCTGACCCTACTCTACCAAAAGCTAAAGGGGGGGAGAGATTTAGCTAGAAATGCATTTTAATATTGGACCCTCATGACCTAAAGTGTATGTAAACTTTCACAATTAAATTAACTTCTTTACTGTGTTCAAGAGGACTTGAAGGACAGAAGTCGTAAAATAAAAAAAATGTACATTTATGTGCAGTGTTGTACGTACGTACGCGTGTATATGTGCATATATTACAATGCTGACAACTACAAGAGGATGAAAAAGAATTTTGTGTATGTAAATGCATATGCACCTTTACGAGTGTTTATGCAAGGTCTTTATGGAATATTTTACTCACGATCTTTCCGTCAACAAGATCCTGAGCATAAACTTCAGTAAATTATTATGTCCATCCGCAAGAGGCCTATAGAGCACACCAACATTGTTCAATCTTACACAATTTATTTAAATGGGCCCTATTTTAACACAAACTAATGTGAATTGGATGGACTAGTGTCTTTTTTTTTTTTTTTTTTTTTTTTTTTTTTTTTTCCCAATCAGCTTAACTATGTAACTATGTAAATCTCTTACTTCTAGCCAGGAACAATGATTGAATGGGGAAATAACTGGTGAGTTACATACTGTTTACAGTTAATCTTTATTTTCAGATACAGGAAGTAGTAAACTTGTAAGAAAAATACATCTCATTACTGTTCTGTAAATGTTTTCCTGTTTGTTTTGCTTTTTTAAAGAGCATTTTAACTTGTATAAAGAAAATAAATTATGTTGTTTCATTTTTATTTGAGGTGAACAGTTTTTGTAAGTGCATAGGTATAAGAAAAGGTTAACAGGCTAGACAATGGCACCCTGACTGCCATTAGGTAAAGGGATGAAATCCTTGGACCCATTGTCAGACCCTACGCTGGTGCAGTGGGTCCTGGGCTTCTCCTGATGCATGACATGCCCGGCCTCATGTTGCGAGAGCATGCAGGCAGTTCCTGGAGGATGAAGGAATTGATACCATTGAATAGCCTCCATGCTCGCCTGATCTAAATCCAATAGAACATCTCTGGGATATCATGTTTCCGTCCATCTGATGCCGCCAGGTTGCACCTCAAACTGTCCAGGAGCTCAGTGATGCTCTGATCCAGATCTGGGAGGAAATACCCCAGGACACCATCCGTCGTCTCATTAGGAGCATGCCCCGACATTGTCGGGCATACAAGCACGTGGGGGCCATACTTGCTATTGAGTACCGTTTTGAGTTGCTGCAATGAAATTTCAGCAAAATGGACTAGCCTGCTGCATAATATTTTCACTTTGATTTTTGGGGTGTCTTTGAATTCAGTCCTCTGTAGGTTGCTAATTTTCATGATGGGGCATCCTTATTTTCCTAACATATTACTCAGTCCATATCAGTATAGATATTCAGCATATTTTTCCCCATTGAGATCTGATGTGTTTTCAAAGTGTTCCTTTTAATTTTTTTGAGCAGTGTATTTGACAACAAGAGCGGATACTTTTTTAGTATCCCTCCAGCTATATCTGACAAGTTTTAGTAGTAAATATGAAATTAATAATAATAATGGTCAAAAAAGAAATCAGTGCAAATTGTAGTGCTCCTTTTACATGGTGGTCAGTAGTAAAGGCCCCTTGGATTGGTGGTCATTATAGTGCTTCTTTACATTGGAGGGCAGTTTGAAAAGGACCCTTACTGACAGCTGAAATCATCATTTCTTACCTGAGAGACATTAGATGCTGGCCGTGACATGATGCTTTAGCGCCAGAGCTATGCAGACACTGTTAAATGAAAGATCAGTGTACCACTGACAATTTGTTTTTAAAAACCTAGGGTTTCACAAACCCTAGTTGAGAAACACTGGGTTAGAATAAGGGCAGTCTGGTCCACATTCCACTTATCTGACAAGCTTTCCTAGATGCTGGGGCTGAAAGAATCTGCTGAACTAAATGGTTTATCATACATACATACATGCATGCTAAACCCAGTGGGGTTTATTTACTGAAGCTGGTTCACACAGAATCTTGTGCACTTCTGCATGAAAACCAATCAGCTTACAGGTTTTATTGATAAAGCTTAAGTGAACAAGCTGACATTAGAAGCTGATTGGCTACCATGTACAGGTGCATCACATTCTGAGTGAACCAGCTTTAGTAAATCTTGCCCAGTGTGTTTGCTTTGTTAGGCGTTGCAGCTTGTGCAAAACACTCTTCCCCCAAGCATCTACTAGGCAGTGATGGTGTAGCACCAGTCCTTTCCAGTAGTTCTCCAGAGTGAGCCCATTAGTATATGAGAGCAGCCAATCGAAACAGATACAGGTAATCAGGTACAATATGACACAGTGCTTTTATTATTGAGCTCTTTTTTGCTGTTATGTAAATATAAAGTATTTTAAGTCATTGTTATTGTGGTTTTTGGTACTTTTTAAAATTCTGTGGGTTGGTTAGTTTAATTAAAATACACATTTGATTCCAAATTTGATTTAACAAAAAAGCAAACATTATTTTGCAGCTTATCATTTTAGATGTGATGGCTGCATTATTTTCTTTTTTTGGCTTTCTTCCTTCTGTTTTCATCTGGTGCTCTAGTAAGTGAGTCTGTTGTTTTCCAAAAGCACAAGCTCTCCAACAGAATGTACAGGTGAAACTCGAAAAATTAGAATATCGTGCACAAGTTCATTTATTTCAGTAATGCAACTTAAAAGGTAAAAACTAATATATGAGAAAGACTCATTACATGCAAACCAAGATAGTTCAAGCCGTGATTTGTCATAATTGTGATGATTTATGGCTTACAGCTCATGAAAACCCCAAATCCACAATCTCAGAAAATTAGAATATTACATGCAATCAATAAAACAAGGATTGTACATAGAACAATATCGGACCTCTGAAAAGTATAAGCATGCATATGTACTCAGTACTTGGTTTGGGCCCCTTTTGCAGTAATTACTGCCTCAATTCGGCGTGGCATGGAAGCTATCAGCCTGTGGCACTGCTGAGGTGTTATGGAAGACCAGGATGCTTCAATAGCAGCCTTCAGCTCTTCTGCATTGTTTGGTCTCATGTCTCTCATCTTTCTCTTGGCAATGCCCCATAGATTCTCTATGGGGTTCAGGTCAGGCGAGTTTGCTGGCCAATCAAGCACAGTAATCCCATGGTCATTGAACCAGGTTTTGGTGCTTTTGGCAGTGTGGGCAGGTGCCAAGTCCTGCTGGAAAATGAAGTCAGCATCCCCATAAAGCTCGTCTGTGGAAGGAAGCATGAAGTGCTCCAAAATCTCTTGGTAGACGGCTGCTTTGATCCTGGACTTAATGAAGTACAGTGGACCAACACCAGCAGATGACATGGCTCCCCAAATCAACACAGACTGTGGAAACTTCACACTGGACTTCAAGCATCTTGCAGTGTGTGCCTCTCCATTCTTCCTCCATACTCTGGGTCCTTGGTTTCCAAATGAGATGTAAAAGTTGCTCTCATCACAAAAGAGGACTTTGGACCACTGAGCAACAGACCAGGTCTGTTTTTCTCTAGCCCAGGTAAGACGCTTCTGACGTTGTTTGTTGTTCAGGAATGGCTTGACAAGAGGAATACGACATTTGAAGCCCATGTCCAGGATCCGTCTGTGTGTGGTGGCTCTTGTTGCACTGACTCCAGCCTCAGTCCACTCCTTGTGAAAGTCCCCAACGCTTTTGAATGGCCTTTTCCTGACAATCCTCTCCAGGCTGCGGTCATCCCTGCTGCTTGGCCACCTTTTTCTTCCACACCTTTCCCTTCCACATAACTTTCTATTAATGTGCTTTGATACAGCACTTTGGGAACATTCAACTTCTTTTGCAATTACCTTTTGAGGCTTTCCCTCCTTATGGAGGGTGTCAATGATGGTTTTCTGCACAACTGTCAGGTCAGCAGTCTTTCCCATGATTGTGATTCCTACTGAACCAGACTGAGAGACCATTTAAAGGCTCAGGAACCCTTTGCAGGTGTTATGGCTTAATTAGCTGATTAGAGTGGGACACTTTGAGCCTAGAATATTGCACCTTTTCACAATATTCTAATTTTCTGAGATTGTGGATTTGGGGTTTTCATGAGCTGTAAGCCATAATCATCACAATTATGACAAATCACGGCTTGAACTATCTTGCTTTGCATGTAATGAGTCTATCTCATATATTAGTTTCACCTTTTAAGTTGCATTACTGAAATTAATGAACTTTTGCACGATATTCTAATTTTTTGAGTTTCATCTGTATAAGGTACAAAGACAAGCCATTTAAACTGACATGAGTGCTTACAATGATCAGCTTTTATTTATGTAAAATATTTATCCCAACAGAAAACAAAACTGTTTGTTGTAACTGCTTATAAAGTATTAGCTGGAGCCTAGCTTCAATTTGTTAGCATATTTGAATTTGCTAGTACATCTAATACTCCCCTTCCTCCAGACTGACAGTGCTGCTGTCCCGAGGTGCCCCTGTGCTCATTCATCCAGATTTTAGGCACTCTAATACAGGAGGTGTGTTACTGGCCAGATCACCAGATGAAAACCGGAACAAACCTAAAAAATAAAACTAGTGTACATCTGATTGGGAAGCTGCAATACAGTATATTACAATAAAAAAAATTTAATTTGCATTTAATAACACTTTAGGTAAAAATTGGTTCTGAAATCATTTATTTTTTCTTGACTGTAAACTGAAACATTGTATATACACTGTGAAGTGTACAGCAAAGTTTGCATATGTTCATGTGTCATTAGTAGCTATAGAAGGCATACATGTCTGAATTACTATTCCGTATTATTTTTCTTTTTACCCACTTCAGGGCTCGTGCAATAAAGTACCGCCAGGAGAATCAGGAGGCTGTTGGAGGATTTTTTTCTCAGATTGGAGAGTTATATGTGGGTGCACCACCTTTGGGGTAAATCTAGTAAAGCATTATCAGCAAACTTGTATCTGTTGGGAGAATTTTTGTACTTGCTATAAAGTACCTTTTTTTTTTTTTAAATTGACGTTTTTTACCCTGCGTTTAGGAAGCTAGACACTTTAAAAAAAAAAAGTTTCTTTTTTTGCCCATTATGCTTCCATTAAGAATTTTTTTTAGACTATCCGGTTACAGTGAGCCTTACTGGAGACATAAACACGGGCAAAAAAAAAAACTACTTTTGTTCAGCACAGGATAGCCCTGCCACTACTATCATGCCTCAGCATTTTGCTAGTGTCCTCAGAGTGAACATGTGTTCTTCAGCTCTACCCTTTGTTCATCTGGAACATTTTCCTACAGCTGCTGGTAGATTCATGCTGAACGTGTTTCATTTTAGAATTCTCTCCAGTCTGCCAATGAGCATAGTTTTTTTTTCGCAGTTTATACCAGGGCTTTCTCTGCGCCAGCCTTCATTTCTGGAAGTTTCTTCAACCACCTACAAGCTGGATGTGGAAATCCTAGAAAGCTTTCCAGTTAGCCAAGCAGCGCAGGTTCTTGGTCAATTAATTATATGGGTGTTTTCTTTGCATTCATTAGTGACTACCTATGTACATTCCATTTCACACAGGAGTCCACCATTCAGGTCAGCCCAATATGCCTGGGGATTCTTTATAGAGTTCAGTCCAGTGCTCAGGCAGTTTTTCTGTCTCCATCTCTGCAACACACTGTTGTGGGTACATGTGGTATTTATTACACTAGCAACAGTAGCAGTTGTAGCTGACTGGCCATTTGTGTGGCAATGTAAAATCTTCCATTTATTTGTAAACTTGCATACTCTCTATGCAATTTGTAAGTTTGCCCTCCTTATTTCTGCTTTGCTTACAAACAGAAATTGCTAGTCTCCGGTCTACAGCTTCACTTGATGCAGCTCTTATCAAGTGGGAGTGCACATACTGGAGCCTGCCTTTACTTCGGGGGATTGGTACCAGCCCACTACACTGCAGGACTTTAAAAGATTGGTGTGTGCTTTGTCATAGTTGTTTGTGTTACACCTTTCAACATGTTATCAAGCTATTTTGTTAGGTTGTCTTTTATGGATATTCTTTTAGGTGGAATTTTGATTCCAGATGAGATGGCTGACAAAATCTTATTGTAATTATTCTATGTGTTTTGTTATGAAAATGTATCATGAAAATGAAATATTTTATAATATATTATGCTATGCAGAGTGAAATCTCAGATTTTACTCTGTTATGCATTGCTCTGTCTGAAAGGCTAACTGATCAGTAAATCGATGTGTGATGCAGGGATATCTCCTGCTGAGAGATTGTATTCTGCCATTGGCTGCAAGCACTGATTGAATGCTAGTATTCCAACATGACCGTTCGACAGACATCAGTCACTTGACCAGCTTCTGTTGAACAGTAAAAAGTTGGCTGATTCCTGTTGAACCGGCCCACTTTTGGAAAGTGGTGTATCCAGCTTTTGTTTTTCCTCCTCTCTGTTCAGAAATGTTCCTTTTTAGGTTTTCTCCACTTTCCCATCGAGACCCTCTCAGCTTAGTTTCCAGTGTGCTCGTAGGATCCGGCACTCCTCAGTCAAGCCTTCCTCTGCATTAAGGTGTGCCCCTCTCTTTCAAGAGTGGGGGGAACCTTTGTTTACATTTCTGATGGTTAGATGCAGGAGGTGGTATCTCAGGACTACAAACCAGAGTTTTGCTCCCTGCCTTCTGTTTTCCCACCTCCAAACTTGTGCCTTGTGGTGGTTTATGTAAGGATATATTTTACTTATAAAGGGCGTGTCCCTTTCCCTTAGATGAAATATTACAGTGCCTCCAGCCGTTAAAATACGGCAAATATTTAGTGAACCAATAATTTGGACACCTTGATAATTTGATCACCACTTATTATTATACCTTGAATTCTTTTAGCCAATATGATTTCGTACCATACACACAAAATTTGCCTTATAATAGATAAATATAAAAATGTATTTATGTACAAAAACTATATATTAACACAAAACGCAAAAGACTGGTGATAAATGAATAATGGTACACACAATCAAAGATATATCCTACCAATGTAAGACACACAATAATAAGGTTTCTAACTAATTAAATCAATATCACAAATTTTTTTTAAATGATCTGCTTATTAATTAAATTTATTAATAATTAATAATTTCGAGTATCTCAAAGGTGATATTCTCACAAGCCGTGGCCATAGGATTGCAAGAAGCTATCCTCTGATATATTATACTCTGATTATTAATATTCAATAAATTATGAAATATGAAAAAAAAAATTATAATATGGCACAAACAATTTTTAACAGTAAAAACAGGATCTCTCTACATATATCTCGAACTACCCAATATTGTTGTGATACACTAAGGTAATTCTATGATTCCACACAACGGAGAAAATAGGTAATACAAAATCAAATAAACAATCTCACCGCACCCGGCATTCAGACTAGGCAACTCTCCCGTGGATTTAGCTGGCAGTGGAACGCCTTTAGAATGATGACCACAGGGGAAATTGAGATAGAGTTCAATAGTGTGGGAGAATGTAGGAAGTTATAAGGATAGAGGTTTAGAAATTTAGTAAAGTTTTAGGAAGTTTGAAAGTATGGAAGAGTAGTTATTCAGCAGAGATTCTCTTCAGATGTCAGGGTCTTCTTTTGATGAGGTCTTTTCTTTTGATGAGGTCTTTTCTTTTTTGATGAGTTTTTCTTTTGATGAGTTTTTTTTCTTAAAGGTACAAGGGCTTTTTATATCCACTAATCCATTGTTCTAAGATACCTTCCCACCAGGCTTCTTGATTGGCTAGTTGAGAAATGTGTGTACATAAGCTATTTCTCACCTGCCCGCCAGGTGGCGGTCATGTATCATAGAACAATTTGAGTATTTGAGATGACTCATACCTCGGGTGGAATCTTAAGGTAATTTCAGGGATCAAATATATGTCTTTTTCCAGATATAAGTGATCATACCTATAATATTCTAAATAGGGACCATGGAATATAGGTGTATATTCAGTTATTCTTTCTTGAAATACCATCCTGTTTGTTTCCTGATAAGACATGTAACTAATGCTAGTTTATAATACATCTTACTTTCCATCATCTCAATACTCTAGTTAGTGATATATAGTTCCCATTGCTGAATATTTGGTGGTGTGTAAAAACCTATCCTTTATAACATCTCATTTATAATATGTTTTTGTAGTATATCTTTGTAGTTAGATACATTCAATTTTTAGACTTAAATGTCCTGAATTTAACTTCTTTGTTTTAGAACCAACATTTTCTATGTGTAGGGAAAAAACTCTCTGTTTGCCTGGCTCTTGTATTGGAGTCACGGTAAACAACTCTTAATACTTTCACCCTTGGTGGACAATAGTATATTGTGATAGTTTCAGAGGTCTGTTGGTTTTATCACACTCTGCAAGGTTTGAGTAAGCTCTCAGACAATCCGTTTGTTCCTCTATTGTCATGTCCAGACCTTGTATATGTTTACCTGCTATTGAAGTCTGAATAATGGTGTTTTGTTTTTTTTTTTTTTTTTTTTTTTTTTTTTTTTTTTTTTGCACCTGTAGAACTTCAAATAGTATATTGTCTCTGGGAGGAAAAAAAAATCCCTTCACCCACCATCTACACCTCTCCAGCCAGATGGTCATTCGACTTTCCAACCAAGACAAATTAACCCTTAACATCCGGCTATATTGAGCTGCTTGTCATATAATATTATGTCTTGATAAAGTCATATTTTTGAGACATAATTCAAAAGGCCCACAACAAATCCCCCTTTGTTTGGGGTACAGGCACGTGTATAGGGGTGTCTGTGTCGCAAAACATGAGTGGGACTTTTGGCTAGAGTGATTGTTCGTCTTCTCCGGTGAAGTGAATGAAATTCAAAAAAAAAAAAAAAAAATTTCTAATAATAAAATGGCAGTGGTGATGCTGGTTGGTCCTCAACTTGACTCGGCGTCTTTAGATGGACACTTCTGATGACGATCCTGGTCTTGTGATGGGGTCCATGGGTCCTCAGCACGACAGGTCTCTTAGACGGTCTCCTAGGCGGGTCTTTTCCTCTGGACTGGCCCTTGGTGGCCTGGGACATCAGGTTATCGTCTCCGGATCGGTCTCTGGCATCTGGTCTTTCCCACAGGACATTATAGCTTCCTTCTAGGGTCCGGTCATTGACACCCTCCGATCGCCGGTCTGGTCATTGTCTGGGCCTTCCTTTCTAAATTATTAAAATGAACAGTTTAAGTATTGGATATACATAAAGTTATATTACTGGATCCTGTAAGGAAAAAGATGAATTATATGTTCAAAGGAAATTTAATAATGATCTCAATATCTCCAGATAGGAACTGGTGGGTTAGTCTTCCAACAACTGCAATTGAGACTTTGGATGGCAAGCACGTAATTGATTGATGTGCACCCATCTATCACTGATTTCACCATACCGGGTAACCTGCAATTTATATGCGACCGGGAGAGATTTTATCAATGATGGAGAACGGACCTTTCCAAGATGGAAGGAATTTCCGTTCCTTGATCTGGTCTCTTGCAAAGTTGTATAGATAGACTTTGTCACCAATCTCATATTCCTTCTTGGAGGTTTTGAGATCATAGTATGTCTTAGCACTAGTTGCAGCTCTTTCCAAATTCCGCTGGGCAAAGGCAAAAGCATATTGCAGATGTTTACGTAAATCCTCTATGTACTGGTGTGTGGTGGTGGCATTGATCAAATTTTGATCTGTAGTGCGATACAATAAGTGCTGGGGCAGTACCATCCGTCTACCTGTCATCAGTTCAAAAGATGACATTTTTGTAACTGTATTCGGAGTAGCCCTCAACGCCATCAGGACCAGTGGAAGTTTGACATCCCAATCTTTGCCTGTTTCCTAACAAATTTTTTAAGGACATTAACGATGGTCTGATTGTATCGTTCTACACCACCACTAGAGGCTGGCCGATAGGCGA